ATTTCGGCCTGGCTATATTTTATATATACGTAAATTGCGGCCTGGGTATAATTTTTATTACCTACTCAAATATTTTTTATCAATAATATTAAAATCAGTATTTTCCTTCTCATTTTTCAGACTTAGGGCTGTCAATATAATTAATATTGGTATGATTAAGAATATTGGTTTTGCTGTTTTTTYTTTTGTTTTTAATTAAAAAATATATTATTAGCATTTAGCAATTAGTAATAATGTGACAGTAAAAATGTGTTATTAAATAAGGTCTTCGATCAAATGCACACTGACTGCTAGTAATATATTATATTAGTGAACATATTATTATTATCTAAATCGATCATTCAAAGATTAATACTTAATTACCTTTAAATTGTATAACCGATCGGGAATCGGAATATCCCAGGCCGCAGTTTACGTACATTTCAAATATACCCGGGACGCAATTTACGTATATTTTAAAAGTGCATGGGCCGCAATTTACGTAGTATATAACTATGACTTTTTTGGGGGGACACAATTTACCGACTCTGACGGCAGAATTGTGTGACTATTCAAACAAAAGATATATTTTTTAGGGTTGGAAACACATTTATTAATGATTAAAAACAATACAAAAATAAAATACACTTATAATATTTAGCCTGTATTTTGACCGTCGTTTCACACGACGATCGCCATACGCTCGTAAGGGATGCTCGCGCTGAAAACAATCAGCGTAAACCTGGCCCTTGTCTGCGCGTACGCCGATGTTATAAAGGCAAAAAATATTGTCACCTCAGCACACTTTGCTTCATTGGTCTGACCTTTCTTAATATTAAAATATTCCCGCCATATACATATTTAATAACATTATATTTATAATATCAGCTGTCTACAGTATACGACAGTACTTAACTGAATTATTTCTGATTACATTAATAAATTATATTTATCCAAAATACAATTCRGAATTTTTATACCTATCACCTATCAACTATGATTTATGAATGATTATTGCATTTACTAAATACTATAATTTTTAATAAAAAGTTAAATAGTTACATTTTAATAAATGTATACATTATCTTTTTGTCTTAAAGTGTAGTTAAATAGTTTATCCATAACCTTTTAAAAGAACGTCATCGTACCCTCATGCATTATCACCATCTAATTTTGGGCGGGACACTTTTCGGCCAAAATGAACCTTTCCCTTTTCGGCCATTCTGGTATGACCGTTTTCGGCCAGTA